TATTTTAAATGACATTGTCATGTCAGTTTTTTCTTGACTGTTGTGTTTAATCATAACAAGTAGTTCAAAGAGCCTTTGAAGCCCCCACTGGTGCTCCAAAAAGCCGTGGATCCCAAGGCATGCTCCCAAAGCCGGCAAACCCTGAGAAGCCTTGGGATGGTGAACTCAGGTGTGAGATTTGCCATGGTTCTTTGCCATAGGATCAGAACCTCACCTTGCCGCCTCACTAAGGCATCTTAGAGATTTTCTTCCTATGCACATTCCAGAGAAACTTTATCTCCTACTTTAATTTTAAACACTCCTCTTAATCTTGAGTGTGTGGATCAAAACAATGGCTTTACTAGCTTTTGGAAAAACACTTGAAAATATGTGCTAAGTTTTCTGCAGATGGACATCATAATTTTCATTATCTTTCCAAAGGTGTCTGTGACCACAGAATTGTTAAAGACCACTGCTCGAGTGTAAGAGGCATTGTGGTGATAAGGGGCAAAAGAGGATTGAATAAAAAATCTACATAGTGTGCATGATTAGTGGCACCAGACAATGAACATTCATTCCACTGACTTCTGCTTGTACCCAAGCTCGCCTGGCCCTAACTGGATAACGTCAGGGTTTGCATGTCATGGTAATGAGCCCCTCTCAGGTCTTACAGCCACTGAATAAAAAGCCTAACTCTTGGGGCAGATCTGTGAACATGTGTGAAATCAAGCATGAAAAAGAAACCACGACTTTCTTACTTGGCTCTAATCTGTGACGATAACTGCTAAGGAACTAGAATAGGTTGCAAGGGAACATCAGGACCAGGCAATTCCCCATTTGCTCTCAACACCATTAGCTCTCCATCTACTAAAATGCTGTCACTGATAGAGGCAGTCAGAGCCAGAAAACTTGGGCTCAACTTTTATAAATTAACACTGTGAGTGCCTTGTGTTCTTGTGGAGGTTGTGAATTGTACAGGTTGGTATTGGTCAAATTTAATGACACCAGGTGAGAAGAAGAAAGTAATCCTTCATTTCTGAAAATAAAAAATCTAAATAGAATGGTTCCTGGTTTAAAAAGC